TATTCAAATAATCCAGTCATAGTATGCTGTGGTCTGACCCACTTGAGTGTCTTTTAGTTAGTGTTAAACAGCTAATAATAATTTTAAAAAATTATATTTTAAATGTTATTTTATATTAATCACAATGAATGAAAAAGATGTGATGCAAAAACTAAAATACATATTTTGGTTTAAATACAAAAAAAAAAAAAAGTTTAATTTTTTATTTTTTTTTTTACTATTTGTTTGTTCTTTTAGTGTAAAAACTGACATTGCTCTCAGCTCCAAATAAGAGTATACAGCTCGGATGTTTAAAACATGCAACCGTGTTCTGAGAAACCATGTTCTGAAAAATCTATGCAGAAAAAGCAAAAAATGTCCCCAAGTTCAGTCTTGGCCTGACCATCCGTCTGTCATTCGTCCTGTATCTCCAAGTTTTCGAGCTTCAGCTGCATGGAGCTCCAGCGCTGCCCTTGTGCCGCAGGAAGTCCGGACTCAGAGAGAGCGTGTGGATTAACAGCTGCTTAAAGTGGAATTTGAATGAAGTAATCAGTGATGTAAGTGCCTGTGCTGATTACGAGCCGAAGACTCCTCAGGCCACCCCAGTTTAGATCCCTGATAAGCACAATGATGAACTATAATTAATGATAAGCATATTAAATGATAACCGAGTCTTGTTTTCTCCCCCCATGGCACAGGCCTGAGTCTCTTCATTCTGTGCATCCGCTGGCAGATGCTGCCACGCTTCCATTAACCGCTGGCTGGGGTTTGTGTTGCTTTAATTACTGGAAACTGAATGAGTTTGACTGCTTATCATGTTCTGTAACCGGGGTTTAATTTATTACATCCACCTTTAGTTTTTGGCGACTAAAGCCTATAACGCTGCTCAGTCAGTCAGATTAGAAGTGTGGCACTAATCGTTGTAAAATATTAAATAGGTTTGGATTATATCAGTAGGTAGCCTCATTATTTGTTATTGAGTGTGCCAATGGGAACTGGTCTGACTAGCCTTCAGAGCACTTCTGGTAGTTTTTCGCACTTGTCTTTCTTTTTCACGTTATGGTTTCACTAATAATTCATGCCTCTGTGGAGTGAGGGCTTTGTCCTGGTCTGTGAGTGTGTAAAGGAACTGTGCTACAGGAAGTGGCATGTGCCCACTCATAAGCTCAAGAACACACTGTGCTTTCAGCAGAGCATTTCCTTCCACTATTATTATTTCTGTGCTGCAGAAGGAGAGCAAAACATCTCTTCCTTTCCTCCTCAAGATACCAGATACCCTTCTCTCCACATTTCTTTTTTTATTTTATCTTCTAATCATTTGTAATCTTGAGTTTAATTAATGTTTTTTCTTTGTTTTTATTTCACAGACAAGAAAACGCCATGTAGGTATTTTGTTTGTTTACAGTATGCTGTGCTGTATTGTTTTGTGCCTTGTCCATTTTGTTGGATCCCTTACAATATTGTACCATTTAAACCATTGTTTCTTTTAATAGTTAGTGATAATAGCTAGGTCTGTTAATAATTAATAATTATAATTAGTGTAAAAATATATAAAATTAATATTAATTAATTAATAAATTATTAAGGATTTCATTCATTTTAAAGTGGTTTCAGTAGTGCTTAATACAAAGTTGCCAGTTTTAATGTACAGTATCAGTAACTGGTCTTACGGCGGAAACAATGGTTATGGTAAATGCTTTTTTTTTTTAACCCAATCTATCTTTTGGCTATCTTTAAATATTTTATTTTATTTTATTATTATTTATTTTTTTAATAAATTGTATTGTTTTATTTTTACTTTATTTAGAATTTTACTTTTACATTTTGTATTTTAACTTTATTTGACTTGACATTAATTATTTTGTTCTGCTTATTATTTTGTGCATTTATTTCCTTTTTATTTTATTTATTTATATTTATTTTTCTTCCATTTCACTATATTTCTGAATGTTGTGTTGAGCCTTTTACATGTCTGCCTCCTTGATAATCACCCTTCCACAGTTTAAAGGGGTCCTATTATGCTCTTTTACAAAGTCTTGATTTTGTTTTGGGGGTGTACTAGAACAGGCTCTCATACTAGGTTGTGGGCCAGTGTGTGCTGTGATTGGTTAGCTGGGCCAGTGTGTGTTGTGATTGGCAGCACTCGGCGCCTGGTCGGGAAATGTCACGCCCCTTACCATAGCCGCCTGATGCGAGCTTCAGTGTAAATATTGCGTCAAAATCAAATCAATTTGACAGTGCTTTAAACCCGGATGATTGTAACCACTCTAAGTTCGTCTGCTTTGGGAAAGCTAGCGTGTCTCCGACATAGTGATAACACTCGTTGCTTTCTCTAGTGCAGCTCAACCAGGTCTCGTCCCATTCGTCGATATTTGTGATATCACAAATCCCGGAAAATATGCGCTGTAGTCCAAACGAGTTGTTCGTTGTAGTTTTTGAGAAGTGATTTCTGTTAAATAAAACATCTCCTTTTGAAGTGGACTTTGAGCTTTGTAACTTTGAAGATCTTTTTTGTGCTCAAACAGCAACATTACAGACTAACTAAAGTTGAAAAAGTGAAAAAGCATAATAGGATCCCTTTAAAAAAACTACATTGATCATTTCTTGGTCTTTCAACAGCTTCAAAAATAACATAACAGTCCATTAATGAATACAAAATAGGTGACAGACTCATATCTCCCATCTCTGATATTCATAGCTGAAATGCATGAAGTTGTGAGTTTGTTCAGTTTTGCATCAGTCCAGAATGAAGTGTAAAACGAGTGTTCCTGTTCATAGCGCTTGAGCGCACATGAGCATCTCCCTCTGATCCTGTTTGCATGGCGCGGCCACGTTGAGTGTGAGGGAATGTGACCCAAATGGAATTATTCTTCCATCAAAGGGAAGTATTCATGAATTAGAAATGACCTTGATTGGAGAGGCCCCAGAGACAGAACGCCACAGTTCAAGCAATTTCACACCCGTTCACTGAACGGCTTTCGAGAGTGATGGAGGCAGCGAGGAAAGGATGAGATGGACTGAAAGAGGGTTTGGAGGAGTATAGAAGGAAAATATATGTATAAATAAAAGCATAGCATGAAGAAAAAACAGAATACTGTAGTCAAATTGTGCATCAGTTAGTATTGTTTGTATATTATTATAGCTTTATTCATATTTTGATATTTAATAATATTTAATGTATTTAAATATTTGATAATTTGATATTTATTAATATTAGCTTTTATTTTCATTGTTATATTTTTACATTTAAATTTCGGTTTAGTAGTATATAGTACTTTTTAAAATTATTTTGGGGTTAAATAATTAAACTCATTTTGGCCTGCTCACCTCATTAATATAAAAGACTTTAAAAGTTCAATTCGTCCCTTGAGGCTAAAGGGACCCTTGCTGTGTGGCCCCTGATCTTCCCTAAGTTGACTCTCCCTGTTTTCACAAGGTGTGATGTGTGTGCCATAAGCCTTTGTATTTCAGTTTATTTGTCTTGTGAATGTTTTGTTTGTTTGTCTCAGCCTGTCATGTTTCCATCATCTGAAGCACAAATACATTCTTGAAGGATTTCGTCTTCGAAGTCATCTTCAAAGTCTGCGTGTGTCAAAGTCAACAAAGAGTAGCGCACCTAAGCCCTCAATTCATACATAATTCAACCAAAGCCAACCATTTTAAGATTATGGATTTCAATCATAGAGGCGAATAAAAGTTGTGCATCTTTTTTTTTTTTTGCTAAGGGCAGCTGTACATCACATTCCTGCCTATGTGTGTCTCTGCTTGTGTACTACAATCAAAAAGGTCACAAGTGAAAGACTTGGCCTTGTACACAAAAGCTGACATGCAAGGCTGGAGAAGCTTTTCATCAGTAAAAGATTAAGATTCAATTCACTTTAATTCAATTTCCAACCTTTTCTCAAGAGCTTAGGGCCCAGCGATGTATAAAACACCCTTCTGATAGCTTTCATAATTCGGGAGCTTGTAAAATTATGAACGATCGATGTAATTTCTCATCAGAAACTGCATTTGACGGCTTTGGGATCAGTAAAAGCGTTTTTTCATTAGGCAACTATTTATTTTTTTACCCCACAGTTGAATGGACCCGAGTCTCAAGCTCACTGGAGAGCAGCAAATTTATTTTTCCCCATTTAATCCTCTACCCACGATGCACCTGGCTTGACACTTCACCACAAACCCTGCCTGCAGATGCTCATTAGAGTGCTTGTGTCAGTTCTGTCCCGCTTTTCAATCGCTCAAATCCAATCTTTTGCCAAGAACAGTTGCGCAATGATGACGTTAAGTGACACATCCAGACAAATTCGCATTTATCATTCTCTTTTATTGTGCTAATAAGACAGATGTCAGACACTGGTGGTTGTATTCAGATTCGACAGTACAGTCTGGCTGGGTTTGTGTTTGTGTTTGTTCCGATGCGTTTTGCCCTTTTGTTACCTTTTGTCTTCCCAGTCTTTTTGGGAAAAACGCAACCCAGTGCTGTCCTCTTGAGTTTGCTTGTGTGTTTGTGTGTAGAATGAGGTTTTAAAAGGCCTCCGTCTGGCTTTGATCCAGGCTTTAACCCAGAGCCCATTGATCGGCCGTTGAGACCGGATTACGGTTCGTCTTCTCAGCCCGAGATGCTTCTTTCTGCCCGTCACAAATCACAAGCCTCAAGAGTGCCTTTGAACTGCATCTCCAAAGTGGCATGGTCAGTTAACACCTGTGAGGTGCAGTCGGGCATCAGTCAGGCTGTGAACAAATAGAGCGAGCGAGCTATTTCGGCACCGTGTTGCATTATCTATTCATACAATTTGCAGCGCAGGATGTTCAGAGTCGTCAAAGTGCCTGACTAGCAAAGATAAAACACAGAAGCTGTGTATACATAGCATCTGAAGGCTATTTTTGTGAAGAACAACATTCGAATCAGAACAACAACTGGTGGCCTATTACACTGATGCTCGCATTCAGAATTGTGATCCCAAAAATGCTTTTCACAAACACTCTCTCCTTTCTTTCTTTTTTGTCTCCCTTCATCCCAGAAAAGAGAGGACAACCAGACAGATTCCAGAATCAGTCCTAAGAAGAGTGCGGAGCCCGCCATCGACCTGTTAGGCCTTGGTAAGACATGAATAATTGATTACTCATCTTGTTGCCGATCAGGGAATCTGAAATGTCTAAGATAGGCTGGAACCCAAAGACTTCAATGCCATTTTACACCAAAAACTATTTTAATTGGTGGGAGGTAGTGGAATGGAAGCAGAATTTTTGCACTTAATGTGCGTCATTGACTAAACAGATGGGATTTTACACACAAATCAATACAGTGATAGTGACGGTAGCTGATGCCATTGATGAATTCAACATGATATTTGTACGGGGACCGAGAAGTGCAAAACAAATCACAATTCTGAAAACAAAATAACAAATTACAAACGCAAATGCAAGTCTAAAAAACAAAATAACAATTCAGAAAGCACAACAACAATTCAGAAAACATTATAACAAGTCAGAAAACACAATGACAAATTCGAAAACAAAATAAGTCAGAAAACACAACGACAAATCCGAAAAGTAAACAAATGAACAAATCAGGAAACACAACGACAAATCAGACAAACCGGAAGAGGTAGGTATAGTTTGAGACCGCGCCATTGGTTTGGGATTACTCACGGCTGACTGGACGAGACATCTGTCAATCAACGTATACAGGAAGAACCAGCCATCGAACCCGGGTCGATCGCGTCAAAAAGCCAATGACACGCGCTTATCCAGCTGCGCCACTGGAGCTGTTGATTTACAGCCACTTTTAACTAAATGTAAATAGACACCCCGTATTTTTTATTCCATAGTAAGGGTAATTCATACAATACATTTAAACTGAGCTACTTTAATACCATCTCCGAACTTTCTACCAGGACTCTGCTGTTCTTCGGCTGGTTCTTCCCTGTATACGTTGATTGACAGATGTCTCGTCCAGTCAGCGGTGAGTAATCCCAAACCAATGGCGCTGTCTCAAACTATACCTACCTCTTCCGGTTTGTCTGATTTGTCGTTGTGTTTTCTGATTTGTTAATTTGTTTTCGAATTTGTTGTTGTGGTTTCTGACTTATTTTGTTTTCGAATTTGTCATTGTGTTTTCTGACTTGTTATAATGTTTTCTGAATTGTTGTTGTGTTTTCTGAATTGTTATTTTGTTTTTTAGACTTGCATTTGCGTTTGTAATTTGTTATTTTGTTTTCAGAATTGTGATTTGTTTAGCACTTCTCGGCCACCGTATATTTGGCTTGTTTTCCTATTAATATATAATTATAAACTGGAGCGCAGGAAGTAAGGGTGCTGGGGATGCTGCAGCAAAAATAGTAAAAATGTTAAAAAAATATATATATTATTAAATGTAAAAGGTTTTTTTTATGTTTTTGAAAGAAGTCACTTATGCTCATTAAGGTTACATTTATTTGATCAAAAACATTTTGAGCAGTAATATTGTGAAATATTATTTAAATTGAAAATTAATTTTCTAATTTAATATATTTTAAAATGTAAATTATTCCTGTGATGGAAAGGAGCCATTACTCACCATTGATTAATTAAATGCGTCCTTTGTGAATAAAAGTATTAATTTATTTTAAAAAAAATCTTAATAACCCCAAACTTTTTAATGGCAGTGTACTGTATATGATCAGTTGTTAGATATTAGAAATGTTTTTTTCTTTTTTTTTGTAATATTGGTGCCGAGACCCTTGTGGGCAGTAACACTGTGCTAAGGGCGTCCCGAGTTCGAATCCTGGCTTGACGACCTTTCCCGACCCCCCCCCCCCACTTTTCACTTCCTGTCTTCTCTATACTGTCCTATCATAATAAACGCAAAAATAAATCTTTAAAAAAATAAATAAATAAAAAGTGTTTGTGCATGCTCATGTTGATCCATGTCATTCAGTGCTCACTAAAGTAGTCTTCAAAAAACATAATATGTAATTATAGCAAACCTTAAAATGAATATCAATTTTGCTGTATAATGAAATGCTGCGATGCTTAAATTCACTTGTCGCATTTAAAATCATTCGTCTTAGTTTTTAATGTAACTAAAACTGTAACTGTAGTTTTTTTCCATTTATCTCGAGAAAATAGTATCTTAATAGTATTCCAAGACAATGTGTTGCTGTACACCAAAGCGACATGTTTTAAAGTCTGTGTTAAGGCTCAGATAGTGGAACACACTGACTGCTATTACTGTCTGGATGAAGGTTCAGGGAAGCACACTGCTTTCAGTCCTGGCAGTATTGATCAGGCAGGCAACTCGAGCCCTTGAGATGACCAAACACAACTGATGTTATATTACTTTCTGGGAAATGAAAGTTTCTATTTGCTGCCCAGGAGCTTTCCTTTGTCGCTCTGTCTTGTTTTTATCACTCTCCTCTTACTTGTTTTTATCACTCTCTCTCTCTCTTATTCGATATTTCTCACTCTCTCAATCTCGATCTGCTACCAAGTTGTCCGTTATGATGAGTGAGAGAGACAGAGAGTGGGTTAGAATATATAAATTTCCGCAAATGTGTGTGTCCTAGGCAAGGAGGTTAGAGTGTTTAGATGTACATCTTCAGCTGGGGGGCAGTAGAGGTCAGTGCTGATGAAGAGAGGCTGGAGATGATGGTGTTGAGATTGAGACATGCGTCTTATTGATGTGTTTTTGCTCAAGGCCCCAGCATCTCTTCTCACCCTTCCATACCGGCAGCAGTCTCTAGCACTGTGTTCAGACAACCAACATTTTTCTCTCTCTTTCCGTCGATGTGGCTGTTGATTAAAAATTGATCAAATTACTTGCATGATATGCTTGACTAATCAAGTGAATCACAATGAATCAACAATATATCAATACATTTGCATTCTGTCTGTTAAATGTGTATTTATTTCTATTTACACTTGATGTTAGCATCCATCTCAGGAGATTTGTTTCAGAACTGTTTAGATCTGGTATTGACACCTGAATTTTTTAAAGGTATCTATTCATGACTGCATATTTTTATTCTCATCCCAAACGTATGAAAATTTGATTTGCTTATTGTCATTTTATCATTTATTTTACTTTAACCTTGTCTATCACTTATAGGTGACTGCAAGCTCACATTCAAATCTGCCTCCATCCAATTGGCAGTCAATGGATAGAAGTTTTTTTTTCTTTTTCATTTGAAATAAACTATTTCAACCCCAAATGTGGTTTAGAACTGATCACAAAATGTGTTGGACCCCATTTACACCTGTGTTTGCTATGAACACTTAAAATCCGGTAATACCAGGTGTAAATGTGGCCTACAGTGCATCTAATCTCGTTTAATTTGCATATTTAATGCAATATAATGTAATAGAGGTTTTGCTCATCTGCAGTTTTCCTTCAGATGTTTTGAAAAAGAGAAACGTTAAACAGATGTGTTTGAATGTCTGGAAGGATTCAGATCAATGGTTCTCATCTGGTTTTGTTTCAGCACCCAGATTTTACATTGGTCAAAAAGTGGCAGTATGTTTTTTTTCTTTTATAAGCAAAAAATATTCATTTAAATGTGTTTGAAGGCAGTATGAAATGAATTCACCTTATCTATGTTCTAAATGCATAGTATTGATCTTATTGTGAATGATTCACTTTTTAATATTGTTTTGGATCTTGTCATTTTTAATCAAAATGTCATCTTGATCCTTAAGAGAAACAAAAGACTTCTTTCTGGTGACTTATGTCAGACTTTTCCAATCATTTCATCTGCATAAATCCTGCCACTTGTTAAAATTGATTGCAAGCTCGCATTCAAATCTGCCTCGATCCAATCAACAGCAATCGATAGATAGAACCAAGTCTCCGCCTTACTTTTTTTTTCAATAATCAGTTATACTCTAATGTGTTACAATATTGAAGAAAAGATCTGTCGCTACATTTATAAGTACGTTGCATCTTTAACTTTAAAAAAAGTCTTTGTGAATATAGGAATGTCATATTTCAACCTATCCATATTGATATCTGCCTAATTTATCTACCTTCTACCAAGTTACATATGAATTTGTGCAAAAATACTAAAGTTCGATTAGACTCTCAGCCCATTCATTCTTTTCATATCTCTGCATTATTTTTTTTATTATTGCATTTAGCTTCATTTTTCCTTACTATTCGTGAGCCTATCAAAATAGACCCAAAACCCATCACCAAATGAAAACTGCTGATTTAGACCGCATGTATAGGAGTTCTTAAAGCATATCAGATGTTTGTGCACACATAAAGGCTTTTGAAATAGAGTGCAGTGCTTTCCAGATGCTACGCTTTTTTGCACATCACACTATACGTGGGTTCTCTAATTTCCTCTTCCTATTCTCCTTCCAGTCACACCCCCAGCTCATCAAGCATCGCATCTCTCCACTTCCCCACTCCTGTAGCTATTCACTACAGTTTTATTCACTACTTTGAGCTCTTTTATTTTCATGGATTTTATCAGTCATAAAGAGATGGCAGCGGCTCCTGACTCTGCGCACTGTAACGTGTGAGCACAGGCAGGGCTCTGATGGAGTCTTTGACTTTAATGGAATGAGAGAGTGCGTCTGAGCTGCAGGCCGGCGTCGGAGGCGAGCGGGTGCTTTTTCTCCAACGTTGGCGGAGGCGTGTGCGGAGTGTGATTAGATTTCCTGCTCTCTTGGATGGAGTCGATAGGTAGCAGGAACGGGAAAAGCAAGCTGAGCAGGCAGTGTGGGCTGCTGCCAGATGAACGATCCTTTATTTCTCTCTAAAGAGACAAAGACTCACGCTAGCATGTTTAGCCTGGCATTGGTCATCACTGCTGAGTCAGTGAGTCACAGATGCATCTGAATTGTTATGTAAAGAGTCTGTACAGCCGCTGTGTCTCTGACATCTGTGTTTTCTTAAATGTTATATTTAAATATGCAAAATATGCATTAAGTTTCATAAATGTACAGATTGCAAAACCCTCTGAATATATCTATATCATTCAGAATATAGATAGGAAAAAAAAGCTTTGAAAGTTTTGTTTATGTAAGTGCTACTGAAGTGGAGATTTCTTGTTTTAGTGCATGAGAAAATTGTTTTGAAAAAAACGGACATTAAATATATGTGTCGTAATTGCAATTTACAGACACAAATCGATAGTGTAATAAAATAAATATGAATGATGTGGATAGAATACAAAAACATCCACAATACAAAAGTCTGAAAGAAGACATGATATGGAAGCAAAATAGGCCAAAATCTTCAAGTTGATCAGTTGATTAAAAAAGCAATGATTCTGCTTGTGGTGTCTTGCTTTAAAATTGATCAATGTTTTTTTTTTTTTTTCCTTAAAGGGATAGTTCACTCAAAAATGAAAATTTGATGTTTATCTGCTTACCCCCAGGGCATCAAAGATGTAGGTGACTTTGTTTCTTCAGTAGAACACAAACAAAGATTTTGAACACAAACCGTTGCAGTCTGTCAGTCATATAATGGAATTGAATGGGAATCACGGCTTTGAGAGTCAAAAAAACATACACAAACAAAACCAAATTAAACCCTGCGGCTCGTGACGATACATTGATGTGTAAAGACACAAAACGATCAGTCTGTGCAAGAAACTGAACAGTATTTATATCGTTTTTTACCTCTAATTCACCACAATGTCTGAACTGTCCGGAGCGCGTTCGCGTCATCTTCTTCAGCCGGCGCGTCTTCTTCTTCTTCTTGCTTTACGGCAGATCGCAGACTTATAAGTGAATTACTGCCACCTATCTCTCAAATGTACCATTGACACTCCTAATTGAGATTGTAGATAGAGTGTCACCTACATCTTGGATGCCCTGGGGGTAAGCAGATAAACATCAAATTTTAATTTTTGGATGAACTATCCCTTTAAAGTGTGCTTTTGCAGTGGTCTTCAAAACCGTTGACACTGTTTTATGTTATGTAAGGCAAAGATATATGTAGATATTCAAGTGTGACTCTAAACACTTTCTGGTCACATTATTTGTTTAACTTTGGTGTGAAACCAATAAAAATACACAGTGACTGTTACTCTATGTAATGCATTTGACACTTTGTCCATGTCTGTAATGACATTTGGTTCTCTCTCGCTCAGATGCACCCACAGCCAGCTCTGCCAGCAGTGGGGCGGGAACAAGCAGTGCAGCTCCAATCAGTGATGACTTAGACATATTTGGACCAATGGTATCCAACCCTCTGCCCTCAAACACCAACACAAACCAGGTACACGAGTCCACTAATGCAAACATCAATAGCCAGTTGTGTGTGTGTGTGTGTGTGTGTGTGTGCGCACTGTTTTGGGTGGTTTACGGGGACACAAATTTGTATAATGATATGGGTATGACAGAGGTATTACAATGTGAAGGTGGTTTATGAGGACACTGCCTATGTCCCCATAATTCAAAAGGCTTAAAAAACATACTAAATGTTTTTTTGAAAATCTAAAAATGCACAAAGTTTTCTGTAAGGGGTAGGTTTAGGTGTAGGGCGATAGAAAATACAGTTTGTACAGTATAAAAACCATTACACCTATGGAGAGTCCCCATAAACCACCAATACCTGTGTGTGTGTGTGTGTGTGTGTGTGTGTGTGTGTGTGTGTGTGTGTGTGTGTGTGTGTGTGTTTGTTCGTTCGTAACTCAAAATACCTGCTCTATCCTGTTGTCATATCAGTCACACTATTTTCTCAGTGCTGGGTAGTTGACATTGACATACAGTGTACTGCAGTGTGACTTGCTATATGTGTTTTTTCTGTTATATTAGAGATATTATGCTATCGTTCAAAAGTTTGAGGTCAGAAAGATTTTTTTAAGGAAATTAATTTCTTTATTGAGCAAGGATGCATTAAATTGATCAAAAGTGACAGGTTTCCATTTCAAATAATTGCTGTTTTTTATACTTCCTATTCATCAAAGATTCTTTGGAAAAAAAGTATTACAGTTTCCACAAAAATATTAAGCACACAACATTTTTAATATGGAGAACATGGATGATAATAATAAATGTTTCCTGAGCATCAAATCAGCATATTAGAATTTCTGAAGGATCATATGGCACTGAAGACTGGAGTAATGATTGCTGAAAATTCAGCTTTGCCATCACAGGAATAAATAACTTTATATATTTTTTTAAATATATATTCGTGTTTTATATATTCATATTTATTTTAACACAATATCATGGTCTTCAGTCATGAAGTCAATGTCAGTGCTATGTCAGCAACGCACAAACCACCTGAACTCTTTTGGTACATTTAGTCATTTGTCATGGCATGTGGTAGTTAACGCTAAGCAGACCTTCATAGACCGGTGCGCCTCATTTGTAAAGGATTGGAGGTACGAGTTAAACAAGAAGCATTATCTTTCTTAGGTCAATAAACATGTGTCTGTTCCTGCCTGCCCTCATTCAGTCTGAAATCAACTGACTAAGAGAGACAAAGAAAAGGTCAAACCCAATTGTATTAATTTCCTCCGCAAACAACATGATTACATTTTGCCTGTCTAGTTGCGGCTGACAGAATTGATTTGCAGGGTCTCCCTGGCCAAAGGATGCAGCATGAATAATGAGGGTTATTAGCATTTATTACGGCCCTTCACTAAGGAGAGTGAAGAGGAGAGATGTTTAATGTCAAGAGAAGAGGAATAAAAACAGAATAATGTTAAGAGGAGACAGAGAAGTTTGGCAAATACACGATATATCTTCAAGATTTGTTTTTGTTGGCTGATGTTGTGTATTTAATTATACATCTGCATTTTCCTTATTTTTACATTTGAGTGACTTTTGCCATCATCTAATGCTCACTTAAAGTTTATTTATACACATTAATAATTTAATAACACTGTTAAATGTAGTCTTCAGCAGATCTCAAAATGAATATAAATTTTTTATATGCCCAAATTCAACAATTCATTTTAGTTTTTAGTGTTAAATTTTTCAAATATTTAGATAAAATGATCTTGCACTTTAGTATTAGACATTTTATTTGGTGTAGGGCGATAAGTGACCTAGATACTGTGTAGATGGACATTGGGCTAAAAAACGTTGATAACCACTGAATTACACTCTTACAGCCAATCAGGACGCTGGAGGATCTCAGCATGAATAGCAATTTGTCTTTGTGGAAGCTCGTCTTCACCTCTGGGATCCACTCTCACTAACCCCACACTGTCTCTACTTTCACCTTTTCTCCCTCGATAGACCTTAGTCAGGGTAGCACCATATGTAATTTTTGACAGGAATGAAAACGAGGCTGTGAGGGACAGAAGTACAGTGTGTTCAAAAGATCTTACTGTTGTTTAACAACATACTGATTGTTCAGCTGACGAAACAAAAACTCTATAAAACAGTTTTGAAAGTTGTGAGTTTTGAAAAATAAATATTACATAAGCATTATACAGCGCATGTCTTTGTAAAGTCTATCCTTCACAGCCTCGTTTTTCAATATGGCGTCTACCCTGACTAAGGTCCATTCCCATCCTTCTTTCACACCCGTTTTGACCATCGTTCTCAGAATGGCTTGAGCAGGATTCTCTTTTTGATCTTAGAAGCCTGAACCTGTGCTGAAGCCAGAAAAGTCACTTGACAAAAAGCTTTTTCCCCACTTGAATCAATGTTTTATTGAGAGGTGTGTAGAGCCACTGGACTGACTTGGACTTCTCGAATAATTGATGTCATCCTACTCTGCTCTGGCCAAGTGGAAAACAGCCCTTCCTACACATTCTGCATTCTCATGGGATGCTAATAAAGGATAAAGAGGAGCTAAAGATAGATCACTTGAGAATAGTAAGCGAATGCTCAGGGCTTTACAAAGCATTCAGTCTCAACATCATGCTGTCAATCTCTGCTCTTATTCTCCAGATGAATCGAGTGGCGGTGGGTGTCTGATGAGGGAGGATTTGGTTGATTCTTGTTTGTTGAGTCTTTGTGTGGAAGATGTGTCTGAAAGAGCCACACATTGGCTCTTTAAAGGATTTGGAGGCTTTTCACATATCTGAAGATGTGACACTTATCGGAATTGGATTTCTTATGTATGTGAATGAGGATTTGTTTTTCTCCGAACAGTGATTTTCGAAAGCAAGAGTGCCTGCAGGAAGTGCACAGAGAAGCCTGACCTTGCCTCCATTTTAAAATGATAAAAATGAACTTGAACTAAAATGAAAACTGAAAATATAAAAATAAGTTAAATTCAAAATATTAATGAATGCAATAATAGTATATGAATAACACTGTTCCATATCAGCCCAACTCCAACCCATCATTCACATATGCACATTCACTCTTGTGGTGTTTGATATAAATAATTTTATAATTATGATTTTAATATTAATTTTAGGTTGTAGACATGCATAATGAGTTGAACACCCAGAATGATGCAACAGCAATAAGCAAGCAATCGGTACACACTTTTTGGAGTGGATGGGAAATTAATGCAAGGGAATGTATGCTGATTTTTTTCCCTTCATGTGGAAACAAGCAGGAGATCGCTGATTGGTTGGCATTAGGGCCTGAATCAGGGCGCTCGCAGTCCTCCCTAAGCCTAAGGGGAGAGAAAGATGAGAGCGTGAGAGACAGTTGGAGTCTTTGATGAGAAACCGCCAGGCTTCCGTATTCTCCATTCCTTCAGTGTGACTCCAGCCGGTGCATGTTAATCTGTCCTCGCACTTCCTCTTTTCACATCTCATCTACTGCCAGCTTTTATATCAGCCCCTGAGACATACACACACAGTCTCCTCTGCAGGACATCCCCCTCCCTGCAGTTTCTATATGATTGCACAACCGCTAGCCAGTTCTGGTATCCCATGATGCTCAGTTAGCAGCCAATCCCTCCCCATTATTGACATCCTGACCAGCCTGTTTCTCTCCAGCTCCCTAATCAAGCTGTCTGTGCACATAAGGGCTGTGAGAATATCAACATCAACATTTCATGAGCGTTGTGGAGGCAGACAGTCTCTGCTCATTTGCATCATGATCATTCGCATATTAGACACATGATGTTTATCACTGTTGTGGGTTTGTCAATTAAGAAGTTGGTTGCACATTATAATACGGTTCCATTAGTTAACATTAGTTAATGCATTAACTGACATTAACAATAAGCAGTACATTTGTTACACTGTTTAATAATCTTTTTTTAATGCTAAAAATACAACAGCTCATCGTTCGTTCACATTGTCTCAGGTTCATTGAATAATATTAACAGATACAGTATATTTTATTTTAATAATGTGTTCCAGATTGTCATTGATTAATAAAGGGGTTAGGAGTATTTTTATTTTTAGCCAATAACTCATACTAAAAGAGCTGGTTTTAAGATATAAACCAAAAAAAAAGCAATGGTTTTAAATGCTAGAAGTGAATTCAGGCATCACAACATTATAATGTAAAGCAAGAAAAATGTAATATTCATTTTGACATATGCTAAGGATTTAAGAGTGTTATTTAAATTATTATCGTTTTTAAAGATTAATTTTAAATAAGTGTGAGATGAAAGAAAATGTGATCTAAATGTAAAACTAAAAATAAAATAACCAATATCAGCCTGTACCAATAAAAGATTAAAAATAACATACTACACTGAACAATAAAAAAAGCTTCGTGTAGGATTTATTTCGAAACCATTTTCACTCCGAAATTGCTAATAAACTTCACAATAATTACAAAAAAAGGCAATTAACACATAAACCTGAGAAAAAGTATTAAGTAGAAAGACTAAAATAGTCTTTTTTTTTGTAAAACATACGGTTTTATTTACAACTTAAAAAAAAAAAAATTTTTTTTACAGTGTTTATGACATTAACTATATAGTTCCAATATATCTCATGCCCCTACCGTGACATGATTTGACCCAAAAATCACACATCTCTCCACTTCCATATCTTGCAGATGATCCTCTTAGCATTTAGCTTCTTATTATCCTCTTAAAATGAAGATTCTGTTGTATTACAGGGTTGTTTGAATTCTCTAAACCTCTTCCTGCTCACATTGATGCAGTCTACCAGACTAGGTCATGTAATTGCAGAAAGGTTTGCTTTACTTAAGTAATTTTGCTTGGTACCATCTGTCAGCTGTTTTCCTGCAATAGTCTCGCTCCAGAATCTGCAGCACACAGGATGTATAGTGTGCTGACTCATTAATGAATCATTCAGCTGTTTAAGAGGCATATCTCATCAAAACCCACCGTCGGCCCTTTAAGAGCACAACTATTGATCTGCCCGTGTTCTTTGA